TGTTTTTACCTCGTAAATCACGGAGCCTTCGACTGTTTGGAATTGTAACACTATCGGATCACAATTTTGATAACGATCGTTTTTCCCTCTTCAACGATAAAAACGGGAATTGGTTATATATCTAACGCTAAGCAATTATTTCTCTAGCTCTAAGTTTATTAAATGAAGCAATATTTTTATAAGTACTTTTCTCAATTTTATAACTAATCAATTTACTCGCTTTTTCTACTTATTTCATTAAAGCCTAGTTCAATCGCAGACTTTCACACCCACGATCCCACCCACCCATCTTGTTATAACGACTTCCTTTAGCCTTGGTCTCGGACAGAAGGTAACAGATATGCGAAGGTTTATCAAAACTGAAGCACTCCATTAGGTAGTATCTTTGATAACTGCACTCAACGTGTTGTATCTATGAACCATCAGAGATTTGAACCCACTTTCAAAAACACTAATCATATTATTTTTATAAATTATAGTGATATGAAATTAATAAGAGTTAACATGGGAATTGAGACTTCAAACTTTTAAAATTATCGGAGAAAATGCTCTAGTGTTGCCAACTTTTTAATTAGATTAACCCGTTTGATGGGCGGCAAACGTGCGTGCTAGACACACGTTACTTCATGAAATGAACACTTGTCATTATCATATTTTTATGTTGTTTTTCTCATAAATTCCTCTTAATTAAGAGTAATGAATACTGTGCTGAAAAGAAATCATTATAAAAAATATCACATCTGGAACGAACGAAGAACTCAGATATTGTTAAAAAAGAATATATGCTATGCACACAGTTTCTTTGTAGGTTATCTCTTACATTAAGAAGTTGATCTATCGGTATCTTCAAGCATATACTAAGCAATGTCTTCAACAATTCTAAAACAGTTTTGATGATAATTTTTTTATCAATACTACAAATTGCCATATCACCAGATTTACTTTTAAGAATAGTTATTTTTCTATAACTGATATATAATCAATAAGAACAATAATTGTAATATATATTCTGCAAAATGGAAACATTTACTATTTTCTAAATTGATATGTCAAATAATAATGAAACTATATATATGTAAGTGAGATTAATATTTATTTTTATTGCAGTGTGAGTTTAAATTAGTTTTTTATAGTAAAAATCTTCAAGCTAAGCCTGGAGACTTTTACTATAAAAAACAGGCAGACAATACCCAAAAAACATTAGAAATTCTATTGTCTACAAAAATGTAACATCACAAAAGAACCGGCGCATGTAATTACTCACTGTGAACAGCAAACTGGACGGAATGATGTCTGTATACTTCAGTACTCTACTTTAATTTTTAGTCTTTGGATTCAATTATTTTCATTCTGTTAATTAATGTTTCTGCTTAAAAATACTATTTATTTCAAACAATTATAAAGTAACATGTGTCGTTCTACTTTTATAAACAAACCCACTTGCTAGCAAATATACCATCCACGAAGTTTGATTACATAATTCACAGTTATCTTTTTGCGCAGAATTGCCACTTCAACACTTGTAGAAAACTTTATTGTTTCGAAATTTATTACAATACATAGTCAGCAGTTTTTTAATACTGAAAAGAAATGGAATTGTGCTTAAAAGATTTAGTTCTTTAGATGTTTATTAATCAATTCTGAGCCGCAACTACGTACTGTTTTTTGTTTATAAACTGATTGAAATTAGATAAACACAACATTTTAAATGAAGCCGTTATGCTGTTTCTGAGATGAACGTGTGTAAACGACTGCAAATCGACTACAAATCTAAAAATAACAGTTTTGAGTTCTACCCGTTACATATTTATCATATCTACGTATATTGTAGAAAAAATAAATATTTATTTACAATTTTTTTATAGTGATAACTTTTTTATTACATTCGTCACGTCAAAATTGGTCCAGCCATTTCAAAGATAAGCAAGAATAAATAGACAGACATGTTTTTTAAATTAATTTTTCATTGTAGTATATGAAGTATATTTGCATTTAAATTTGGAATGACAAACAGACACTTCAATTTTACTTGTTTGCATATAATTAATTTGTTTTTAATTCTAATTCAAGGTGGTACAACCAGAAGAAAAAATGGTAATGTTAATAAAATTAAAAGGTGAAACTCGAATGCTTAAATGAGTTGTAAATGTGTTTCCATACAGATAAATATTTAATATTAAATTGTATGTCGATGGTGCTGTGACAGAAACAATGTATAAACTTTTTATAAAATACTGTCTTGTATTTTATATTTTTTATTTATATTGTACATAATTTCTATAAAATATATATAATCTATCTAGATATAGTCACGTGACATAACTGAATTTAAGCATTTGACTTATAAAGAGAAACCAGACGTTCGTTAAACCAATTGGTCAGTTTATAAATCTTTTATAAGGAATCTAGAAGTAAATCAGCAATTAAAGTTTGCACAACGGATCTATTTTGAGAGACTGAGTCTTGTACGTCTGATCAATATCACCAACTAAGTTGGGATCACTCTTTCTTGCTTAGCAAAGTGATACGACTACTTACCTCTGACAGACGAAACTTATTAACCATAATCTTAGAAAGAAAATAAATTCACTTTCTCCCGATTTTGTAAAGCTGGGCATTGTCTTTTATCAGTGGTTTTATCTCGACTAACTTTGGACTAATAATATGTTTTTAACGCATTTCTATAGATAATAATTTAAACTTCTCTCCTAAGGGATAGTGGGAAATATATTGATAGTTTAATCATGATTACGACGTACCAGTTATTAGTCGCAACTTCATGTGCTTTGTTTTGAGATAGACTATCTCTGTAAATTTACTTTCCACCACTTAGTGCCGAAAAAGTCAGATAGACAGTTACATAAACATACTTTGACATTTAAAATATTAATTGAGATAGTGCGGCTAAGGCAATTTGCTTACTGGTGAGATGATGTAGTAATTGGTTTTAGGGTAAAATAGAACTGGCATGTACTTTTAATTTGTACAAAGGTCTAAATTTCAAAGAAATAATAGTATTTATATTATTATTTCTTTGAAACCTACCTATTGACCGATCTATACATATAAAATCGTTTCGACTATTATATTTATGCGCACACAACATTGCCTAGTCCGAAATTTGGTAGGGTTAAATTACACATATTTTTGAAATATTAATCTTCACGACCTTCATAAACTTTATAGATGTTTATAAAACCGCAGGCAATATCTCATATTATATATTCTTATATGCATATGTCAAAGATATCCTGTAATAAAAAGTACAAATTCTATTCTTTCAAAATTTACATTGCAATATTTATCAACCTGACAAGAGCTGGCTGTGTACAGCGTCTGTAGGTATATTATTTTTGTATCCACGAGACAGAAGCTTCGAAACATGTCGTTATGCAGATTAACATTTTACTCTCTATGACGTTAAATGGGTCAATCAACTATTTTAAGTCACAGATTTACTTTTCTGTGAAATAAAAATTAAACAATTTATAGAGAACTAGCTACACACCTGGCTTCGCACGGGTGTGCAGGTATATATAAACCTTCCTCTTAATTCTCTATCTATTGCTAAAAACTATATCGAAATTCGTCGCGTAATTTAAAACATCTAAGCAAACAAACAGTGGAAGCAACTTCATTTTATATTAGAGAGTGTTAATAATAAATTTTATTTATTATTTTAATGTTTTTAATTTTAGGTTCTTAATTGTACAATTAAGTTATGTAATTATTTATATATATATATATATATATATATATATATATATATATATATATATATATATATTATTTAAAGATATAATTAAAGATTCTTGTTCTTTTAATTATATGTACATGAAATATTAGTTATGTGTTCTCCGCAGCAACATAGTAATACCTACAATATAATATCCCTAGCGTCGTCTGGTCCCAATCTACGCAAATCTTGTATTTTGGATACCTACTAAACAATAAATATAAATACTTCTTTTTGTGAATGCATGCATAATATACATAGAAAACACAGGAACCAATACAAATAATTGTACTTATGATTGCAAATGTTGATAGCGTGTGAAGAATCGAAACCGGGACTATAAATTATTATTAGATACCTAATACTAATTTCTGAATTCACATGCAATAATTTTATATTTCGATAAATACTATCAAAATAATTTGTATTAATAATAGGTAAGTAGATGTAATATTATAAAATATTTGCGTTAAATCTGGAGTTCCACAAATTACTCGTTTTAATGCAAAGGAATTACTTCTGCTTCATTTGCACAAATATTTAACACCGGGAAATCTCTGTGGATATACGTGTGAGCTCGCAGTTTACTGCTAACTTTATCCCGAATCTTCTTATTTGCATAACACTGTATCTCTTAAATATTTCATACATATCTAAATTAACTTATCATAATTTCAAATTGATCGAAATTAAAACATATTTCAGCGTCTATTTTGGACTTTTTTAGTTATAATGCTAAATAGCATAAACCATTTAGCATGCCTCTTATATTAGTAAATACTTATCGTGCAAATGATACTCTTTTTAGAATTGGTATTTATAATTGTACCATCAGTAATGACCATCTTTATTCGAATGTGCTATTATATCGCTAGCCAGTTTATATTTTCTTGCTAATTAGCAATCGGTGCAAAAAGTAGGAGAAAGCGAGTGTGCTTTCGAGCTCATCTAAAATTTTCTTATGTGGCTGCTATTTTTATTTTTGTTTTGAACGCCGATGCACGGAACGGGGTGACAAATCTTTTGAGTTTATATTTGAGTACTATTTTGATGTATGTTTGTGAAATTTACTATACAACTTTGGATCAACACAGTGAATTTATAATTCTACAGTACTTCAATTACTTTATTTAAAATAAATTTCTTGATATAATTTCATATTTATAATTTTAAATGTACAAATAAATAAATATTTTCTCTTTATAATGTCAGTATAAAGAATTATTTTAAATATAATCAGACTTATTATTATTATTGATTTCAGGTAAAGACGAGAGAATTAAGCGATATGTGAGTAATCAGCTAATGTATGCGTTTAAAAATGAGACCAACAAAGAATGACAATGACGCTCCGCCGGTGTGATAGCTTACCAATACATCTTAGAGAAGCACCAGTTCCGACGGAGAGCGATACTCAAACACAACTATCGAAAATACCCGACACTTTGACTATTCCGAACTTTCTAGAACTTCCAGACCGTGATCAAGTTATAGCCACTTGGAAGTCCCTTCATACAGACGTCAAGAAAATAAAAAATGGATTTCCTACAAAAAATGAACTGGCAAATCATGAAGAGAACAAAAAAGAACCCATTACGCATAATTACATCCCAGCATTCTCATATAAAAAGAGCTTGCGGAGGAAAATTACTTATAATAATCGACACGCCGGGGTCAGTTCACAGGAGGTCGACCGAAGTTCTTCATTTCCTCTTGACACTGGTCAAGCGAATATTGAGAGTGGAACCAGAATGGTACGAAGAAGAACACTACTACAACGTCTGCTGCCATGGAAAACACAAGAGTGTGATTGTCAAGAACGTTACATACCAAAGTATAAACCCATACCTAATATACGCGCTGAAGACTTACTATGTACTTGTGGTGCTAGTGCAAGCAGACTCAAACCTCCGGACAATAGTAAAAAGTACGGAGAACGCGGTCGTTCCAAAAGTGTAGGCTATGAAGCAGCACGAGAAGTGACTCAGTTCCGCCGGTTAGTGGAATGTATCTACGTTAAAAATGCATTTATAAATTGAACTTGTCTATTGAAATCGTGTTACACATGTTCAATAGACTAGTTCCATTTATAATTAGTGACCATTTAAGTATAGTGTGTGATGTGATAGGTGTGCAAGTGCTGGTGCTACGGTGGGTGCGGAGACAGCGGCGGCTTTGCGCGCTCGCGCCGCACTGACGTTAGCCCGCCGGTACTACCCTGAGGGTGGATGGGGGTGGACTATCACAGTCGTCGGCACCATCGTTCAAGTATTATCACACGGCCTACAACTCGGCGGTGGCACAGGCGCCATAGCATGCACAGCTGCCGTTAAATATCGAGTGCCGCCTCTTTATACTCACGGTAAGTGCAATAAGTTTTTTTCGTTACAATTCAAATACTTTTTAGTATAGACTACTACTTTTTTTTACTATATACTTTTTTGCAACGACACTTAATAACTGATAATTCTAATTTGTATTATATTATATATGCATTACATCATAAACGAAGTATAACAAATATAATAGGTATACAAATTCTAAAGCGATTAACATTATCGCAGTACAACCATACGTGGCGAAGTTAATGCTAATGAGAATATATATGGAAAGATACTAATTAGGAATGACATTAATTACCCATAACCTCAAAAGTTGTTATAGATATTAAGCGTCATTTACACAATTTTACGTCTTAAGGATTCACAATCAATAAATTTAGGTAACAAATGTACATGAGAGAGAGGCATCAACATAAATGGCGAGTACATCTCGTACCTTCGGTTTGCTGATGACGTTCTTTTATTGGCTGAATTGGTAGACGGTGTTAGTCTAATGCTGAATGAACTCAACACTGACTCACGACGAGTGGGACTGCAGATGAATCTGGACAAGACAAAAGTAATGTTCAATGACTTCGTCGTCTCAAGTCCCGTTACCGTCGAAAATGAGAACATCAAAAACGTAAATGACTATGTGTCGGACAAGTCATACAACTAACGCGGGAAAATGTCAACAATGAGATCGACAGACACATTGGGCTGGGCTGGGATGCGTACGGAAAATTCCGTCACATCTTCACGACACAAATCCTTCAATGTTTGAAGACAAAAGTCTTTAACAAATGCATTCTCCCTGTAATGACTTGCGGTCATAAATTAAAAGTCGCACAGCGGGCGATGGAGAAAGCTATGCTCGGAGTTTCTCTAAGGGACATGATCCAAAACGAGGAAATTCGACGGAGAACCAAAGTGGACGACATAGCTCTCAAAGTATGTCAGCTGAAGTGGCAGTGGGCCGGGCATATCAGCAGAGTCAGCGATGATATATAGGGAAGAAAGGTTATGGTGTGGAGGCCGCATATGGGTCGACGGAGTGTCGGGCGCCCTCCTAAGATGGACCGGCGACATTACAAAGATGGCCGGGAGTGGATGTATGCGGAAGGCGGAAGAGCGCACATGGTCTTTGGGAAAGGCATATGTTTAACATTGGACAGACATAGGCTGATGATGATGATGATGATGATAATGAACCAGTGTACATGTGCAATGTTGCGATGGATAGTCTGCAGGAAGGTGAGCGTCGCAATTCTGTACAGTAAAAAAGTGTTTACGGTATACTGAGTAAATTTAAAAAAAATGTAGATACGTAATAAAAAACGAATGAGCGTATATGTGTATCTAACTTCAAAGGCGTTCCATGATGTAGATTGTAAAACTCGATACGAGCCGCGATGTCACATTTTATAGAAATCGATGCCAGTGTACTCTTTAATGGTCTTTCAAAGATTATACCTAATATAAATAATTACAAAACACTAACCTGAATGTATATTATAGCCATTGCTAGCGTGTAGTAACAAAGTCCTTTGTAGTATGAATGGTGCTTTACACAAACAAAGTTATAAGCGGCAGCTATAATAAATAAATGGGTATTTAATATTCTTCGTTCACCTTCGCTGTTTTTGTCCGGGTTTATTATTATTGCTTTATTTCTAATGAGTTGTATATAGCCCAATGCTAATATTGAATTCCTACCTAGGGCATCTGCTTAAGAATTCCTATCATAATTAGTTAAGTAACACTTCAAAATTTTGTGAAAGAATTCAACTCCCTTGGAATACGAAGAGAAAAATGAAAGAATCTGCTAAATCACTACTGTTGTTTATTATCATATAAATGTCTATTATGTAATTTTCATTTCAATGTAATAACAAAAAGTTATCCTTCAAATTATATAACAACATTCAATAGACAGGACCAACCTGTAAGCATATACTTCTAAACCAAAAAATAGACTAATAGAAATCGATTATTAAATCAAATAAAAATGGAAATAAAAGTTCATAAAGAAAAAATCTGTTTTAGCAGTTGGTTAAAAAAGAATTTTGTTTTTCTATATAGGCATATGACACTAGATACAGTAATATGAAATCCACGTCACACTAAAAGAAATCCAGTCGTGACATCACGTTTTTAATATTCGTATAGACATGATGATATCCTATGTTGGATACTGATTTATTTCTAATATGCCCCTAATAATATTACATGTATGATGCTTTCTGAATATTACGCGATGTTCTATAGTTCAAAACGTGCGGTATTGGTTAGGGGAGTCAACGCCATTTGTTAGAACATGCTTCTCAAATTTTGTCTCTTAATATAACTAAAACTAGCAGTATCCCGTATATTTACCTGGCACTATTTATTTCCCGTTTCCAGGACTATTTTTTCGAAAATATTTTTTTAGCAGTTTTTTTTTTCAATTTTTTAGGCTTATATTTGACCGTGCGTTAATAATCACAGACACACGATTTTTAAGTGTACAATAAATAATTTGTATTTTCTCCATACACAAAATAAGAATATATGTATTTTTCCATTCTCACAATGATGCAAGAAACAACTGCGAAAATAAACTAGATAAATAAAGTATACTGGAGAAAAACTCATAACAAAAACCTATATCAAGTCACCTGGCCGGCGTAGTAAAAATACAATGATATTGTTCTCTTATTGTAGACAGAGTATAAAGAATAAATAATTTACACCTACACGTGTGGACTTTTATATGGATACGCAAATGGGCACTATTATCTTCTGTAAGTAGTATAAGTGTTGTTTATCAAATATTCATTAACTACATAATTTTTGGGGAACAAATTGTCCCACCTATCCAATAAAATTCGTGGACACGATTGCCGTATGCAAAGCATTTTATTGCTATTTTTATGTATGTATAACAAAACAAATATCGTGAGGAGTACAGAACTTGCGGTTTTTTATCTTACATTTACTGTGCTACCTATTTATGTCTGAATTCAAGAGCGGTACTAATGGCAATGTGGTGTTGCCATTACGTGATTCTAGACTGACTGTTACAGCTGTAAGATATTCCATTGTATGTACATATAAAAGTTTTAATATACAGTATGCATGCATGTATGTATACTTGTATATACAATAGTCCTAAAATTAGTGGATGCGAGAGCAATAAATATAAGTATAAATTAAAATAATGATGTAATTAACAAATTTATTTAGTATTAATGATCGCATACAAGTGGATATTTTTACTGATATTGATAAGTGGTACTATTAGTCTCTATCTGTTCTTCTGAATCTATTTGTATTCACTGATGTACACTAATGCGCCCTATGACATGTATAATTTAAGTAATACATGTACAAATATCATTCAGTAAGTTTCTTATCGAAAGATTTACCTGATATAAGTTTGCGTGAAAATTATTTTCCTATAAAACTGGAGTACTTTCGTGACAATATTATATCGGTATGTATTCATATAAATTATTTATGTATTGGCACAACAACGTTCTCTGGTAAATTAATTCCGGAAAGTGGATATTTTCATTAAAGGAAAAATATAGAGTTCCGTTTCTTAACCGGGACATTCCTCCTTTACTTACTACATTTAACCATCGATTTATCGATTCTGCAGTCCAATCTAGTTATCTTTGAAAAGTTTAAAATGAACTCTTTTTCCAGTCCAGTTACTCTCCATCACGCAGTATTCCAATCCATTCCCCTACATTTGACCTCTCTGATTTTATGATACTGTATACAACGTATAAACTAAAGGGTACACCAGGCGAAACGTAGTTATAGCTGTATTATTTACAGGTAGGTACTCTACTTGATGTATTAATATAAACCTATTGTACACATCATATAATGTAATATTTTGGAAATTAAAATATATCCGAACTATTTCATTTCATTTTCACTTTAATAAAAAAATGAACTACCACTTTCATTGCAATTTATTTTTTATATAGATATAAGCGATAATATATAATATGAACTTTTTATTAATTTAAGAACCACTCCGTCTTTTATTTTAATATAAAACTTGTATAAAGTAAATTATACTTGTAGAGGTATTTTTTAATAAAGATGTAATTTTGGTTTTATATAGCGATAAAAGGACAAATAATACTTACTTTTTTGGAAAAATATAAATCGACAACATATCTGTAAAACTATTTAACTATTTATATTGATTTTAAGCGATTTATTTAAGAATTGTGAGTGAGACATTCCCACAATTAATAGAATTTCAGATCATGCTTTAGATATGCAGTTATTGCAATTTTATTCTGATCATGATATTTTAATATATATATATAAAAATATCATGATCAGAATAAAATTGCAAACGTCATATAATTTTTTCTACATATAGAGAACAAAGGCACCTGACCTGTCCTATATACTAATGGAATAACATAATACGCACTGGTACCATTAGCACGTTGGACTTTCATAACATCTTCACCCTCGTAACAATGCCGTGCAGCGGCACGTCTTGTTATTTCTATGAGATATTTCATACATGTATACATTCTATTTACGTGCTATTTTTTATAAACAAACTACCTTTTCATATACAAACGACAAAATATCCTCATTATTCACATGCAGAATACCCTACTGCAGTTTTATGTTTAATTTGAAATATAATGAATATGTAAATTTAAACATTTATGTCCAAATTAGCTACGAGAGAATATACCATCGTACCCGTTTATATATGTATTCAACAGTTTATATTATTTATTTAATATTGATGTTGCAAAAGCAAGCATTTGAATCTAATTACTACAAAGGATTTTTTAACAATAGTATAGAATCTACAGAGGTCATTTATTTGCTTAGATTTACAGTTTAGAATTATACACAGTACCTATAGAAATTAGAAAATAATACGAGCATGTCGCAAATTTTATGCATGATCAATGTCGAATATCTGAATAAAGTGGCGAACAGACGTTCCTACCTCTTCTTGACGTTTTCGGGTATCCTTGACGAAACCGATTTATTTGAATGAATAATCGTT